AGCAGAGTACTGATTCAGCGGATAACTGGTTTCGTCAAGAGTTTCTGAGCACGGAATTTGGGCACGCCTGTCACATCTGCAAAAACCTAGCAAAAACCTTCTAAAAACTTGAGAATCGACCAGCTTCACTGTCTTTTAAGTGTTTTATTTTTTGTTGCTATTTTATTTAGCCAACTTTGCATTTGAGTTGCACGAGAAGCTCTGCAGTATAAGCACAGTGTTTCTTTCTCTGCATTTATTTTCAAGTCAATCCTCTATTTTATTAACCTACCCCGTTGTCTGTATTTTGTATCTGTAGTTATTCAGTGTGGTTTCTGGTGCCATTCTTTCTTTCATTGCACATATTTTTGTTTCCTCTTAGTTAACTGTGTGTCTCTTGCCATTGCCCTCTTTCTAATTAAACGGTTGCTTGTTCCTTATATCACATATCTCTGTATTCTCAATGAATCTGTCAGTCATCCTGAACATCACAACACACCCCAGACAGGTCGACTGGTCAACGAAAATTTGAAATGTACCACTTCAAGACCTTTCAAGCATTGCAGGGCCAAGCCTGAAGTTGAAGCGTGTGAGTCTGCCAAGACGCTGTTGTTTGAGCAGCGGGGTCTGACCGAAGTGTGTTAAAGTGTACAGTGCATAAGTGTCATGTCAGAACTCATTATAAACTATGGTATTGTATAACAGGTGGCAGAGTGTTATGAGACTTGAACATAATGCATTACATTAGATATCTGGCAGTTCTTATTTTAGTACTTTTCTTCACTTGGAAACAATCAACATAGTTCAGTTGAGGGGCTAGTTGGTACTGAAATAAAGCCATGCAGGGGATAGAACACAAGAAGGAGTAGACAGGATTGCACTTGTCATGTCTACTTCTACTTGTGTTCTGTCCTCTATGCACCTTTATTTCAGTTTAAAGTTTGCTAATATTTAATTACATATAAGTTAGTTTATAGATGAAAATGTAAAACACACGTCTGCTTTGAGCATTTCAATTGAGCGGGAACTACAGTAAGTGCCCAGTCATGCCATACCGAACTCAAGCTTCAAGATACAGGTTCAGAAACAATGTGACAAACTGCAAGTAAAAACATACCCCTAAAGTCGCCTTGAATTCCAAGGTAATGCCTGCCAAGTATTTACTGGTAAGCACTATACCTCCTCGTGCATGTTGTCATTAAAGAAGCTATAGCTTTGCAGCCTCATGCCAATATTGTGGCTCAGGAACTACATATGGTACGATACGAGCACTGACGTACAAGAAAGTAGTGCTTCCTGAACTGACACTGTGTACTGCAACTATTCATGTGCGTTGGCAAGTTCATAGAATATTGCAGTTGTTCAAGTGCGGCAAGTAGTACAAGATTGTGCACATCAATCAGTGAACTATGATGCAATGTACGTAGACTACACTATAAAGAAAAAAAAAAGACGCTAGGATGCGGGCCAAATTCACTTACGGTCTCCTGCTTCTTCCCTTAGTTTGCTACATTGCGCCACGGTACCCTGTTCTCTTTTGCACCTCTTCATACCGCCTCGCCACTCCACCAAAGAGTAATATTTGTTTGGGTTTAAAGCCCCAAGAGCAGATAAGATTATGAGGGACGTCGTAGTGGAGGGCTGCGGTAATTTCGACCACCTGGGGGTTCTTTACCATGCACCTAAATCTCGGCACACGGGTCTCAAACAAATATTTGCTTCCATCGAAAATGCTACCGCCGCGGATTCCGTCCCGCGACCTTCGGATCGCCAGCCGGGCGCCATAACCACTAGATCACCTAAGCAGGGACCAGAGCGAGTGCTCGTCTCACTGGCGAGTCAGGTGTGTTGCCGTGCGGATACGTAACGTAGTACAGTGCAGGTCACTAGTGAGCACATTTGTCTAAAACACCGAAAAGGCACGCTCCGGACTGCGCTGACGGCATTTTCTGATTACAACTGGTTAGAAAGAGCCCAAATTCTTGCATGCAAAGCCGCTAAGGTTTAATGCTTGAGTGAGGGCTGTCAACTAGTTATCGGTATACATGGCGCCAGAGAGTGTTGGTGCGTGCCATTCCGGCATTCTAGACAAGTTTCAGTTCACGACCAGTTCACAGTACGCGACCAGCTCTCGTTAATATTGTGTCTAACAAAGAAAAACGAGCCCTTATAATTTCCACTTGACCTCTGTAGGTTGCACATGAAATTTAACAGTCGACTGCTCACTGGTTCTTCAGAAAATGAGAATCAGCTATCTGTGTAACGACGCGAAGCTCAACCGAATGGTCATCGGGAGGACTTCGGGCTGTACACCTGTAGACTTCAGTAAATTCCTTCGATGTAGAGCATATGGCGCTAACAGCGGTAGCAGCAAATGCCGGCAAACATACCTGTTCCTATCGCGTGCCCTAGCCTTCGTAGCGCCACACAACTAGGGAGCCTACATGACCGGCAGCTCATGTAGGCTCCCTACACGCAACCTGTGACACAACACACTTGGCACTCTCCTCGACAGCACTAAGTTCATGAGCGGCACAGTGGAGTGACTTCGATAACGCGGGCTTCCTTGGTCGAGCTCTTTAATCCAGGGCACGCAGCGTGGAAGTGTGGATGACGGTCACATGATAACTGGAACTCGTGCACACGAACCGTGATGACAACAAAACGCGCCTTCCTTATTTTTTTTTTTTATCACGTGACCTCAGAGTCGCTTGACAAGACGTAGTCACAATAAGACGTAGCCAGTTGAAGCCGATCGTTTTAACCAATGACGTCATATGTGACGTTGCAACTTGGGTCACGTGACCCCAAGCTGTTGAGGTGCAAATAGACTATCCCGTTGTATAGTGAACTAGAAGTACTCTAGTGGCACGACCGCCAGGCCACGCCGCCTCTCTTGGCGGTCGGAAATACCACGAACCGCCGCTAGGGTTTCTCGTGGCGCTACTGCGCCTTTTCCTAGGCGAGGCGCGGTCACTTGGTGATTCAGCGCGTTAGTTCAGCACGTCTGCCGGTATCCTGCGCATCGCTTTGTCTGCAGCTACTGTACTGCACGTGTACCGGTATACCCTGCTCTGCATTTTCTCGCACGGACCGTTGTGGAGCAGCTGTCTTTACCTGTTCAGGTATTCCGTACCAACAAACATGTAGCTCGTGACATGTCGAAGCGGAGGACGGATTCACACTGTTTTGCTCCGGGTTGCCGAAGCGGCTACCCGGGCACCCCGAAGGCATCGTTGTTTGCAGCTCCTAGAGAAGACGATCTCCGCAGAAAGTGGGAGCGTAACCTCCGGAGGGATGACAAGCCTCTGACCGAAACATCAGCGGTGTGCGAACATCACTTCGAGCCAAGATATATTCTGCGCGAATATGTGCACGTGATAAATGGCTGTGAAGTGCGCACTCCCCGAGGAAAACCGTCATTGGTGCCTGATGCCGTGCCAACGCTTTTGCCAGGTTGTCCAGCGTACCTTTCCGTCGCTGCGCCCAAGCAAAGACCCGAGAGAAGGAAAGCAGCCAAACCTCCTGAAGGCGCAAGCAGAAAACGGCGCAGGCCTGATGCACCTGACGAAGTGTGCGACGGCAGTGAAATGGAAGGCATGGACTTTAATGCTGCCACTAGTGCGCGACTTTCAATTGAAGCTATTCGCACACTTGAAGTTCCTGCAAACTACTGGTGTCGTATAGAAGCAGTTGGCCACTGCGATCTAATATTTGTGACGACAGTGATAAGCAAGCGTACAAAACTGGATATTTTTCATGAAAAAGCTGTGTGCTTTATGTCCACAGAAGGAAAAATTGTAGCCCAAGTCTTCTATCAAGGTGTTTTGTGTCAAGAGAAACCCGTGCAATCCCTTGCTGAGGCCACATCCGTATTGGAATAAGCTCGAGAAAGCCCTGTCTGCAAGGGAGCAATGTGTAAACAAGAATTCAAGCCGCTTTCCTCTCGGCTGACCGCACATCATCGAGCTGAAGCAAACACTGCTGGACGATCCGTGATCAGCGTACGCTGCTTCGGAAAAGTTTCTTATGAAGGTAAGTAGACGTAAAGTGCATTAGGATGCCCATAACATTACCACATTGCCTCAGGTATTGAGGGGTGTGATTTTAACGTATGCATTGTTTGTTCATTTGCAGGCTCAAGTTGTGCAGAATGCAAGTCCCTTAGGAAAGCGCTACTGACAAGAAAGTCGTACATTAACTGTCGTGTACACCTGCCTGTAAAGAAAACCCTTTCTTCACGACTGACGCAACAAAAGAAGAAGACAGCACGTCTTCAAAATCAGGCATGTGTGCTTAAGAAAAAGTTGAGTGTCATGCTTGCCAAGAATGTGGCAATCGCAGAAGAAGATTTCAATGCAAAAGTAGCTCTCCTACCAGAGAAGCAGCGTGAGGCAACTCTCCACATATTCAAAGCTTCTTCACGGAAGAGTACTAAAAGCATGATATTTTCAAATGAGTGGGTGCTCGAATGTTTGATTATGAAGCTGAAAAGTGCAAGGTTGTATGAGCACTTGAGAAAAGAAAAAATCTTAGTTCTCCCCAGTAAGACTACGCTTCGCAAATATTTAAAATGCTACAGAACTGGGTTTGGATTTAGCAATAAAATCTTTGATGTGCTGAAGCAAAAGACTTGCACTATGGACGAGTTTTTATGCCATGGAGGACTCATCGTGGATGAACTGAAACTCTCGGAGCACCTCTCAGTGAACAGTGAAGGCCGCATTGATGGCTTCGTTGACTTGGGACAGTTTACGTCTGACAAAGATAAGCACAGTGTCTGTGATCACGGTATGGTGATAATTTTTGTGCCCTTTGTTGGCAAATGGACGCAAATACTCGCTGCATTTGCGACTCATGGAAACATAAATGGGAACCTGCTGACGAAGATAATGCTTGAAGCCGTCATTTTAGCTGAGAAGGCCGGACTCAAGGTTGATTTCATTACGTCTGATGGTGCCACTTGGAATCGGAAAATGTGGTCTGTGATGGGCATCAAAGCATCACTGACAGGAACGAAATGCAGCACATTGCATCCAGTGGACCCAACGCGCAAACTCCATTTTCTGTCGGACTTTCCTCACTTAATTAAGTGCCTGAGGAATGGACTACTAAGGTCGGACTACGAAACACCTGAGGGCCGGGTAAGTTGTTTTTGATCACCAAGCATGCTGTACAACTTTATTGATACAATCTGTTTGTTTCTAACAGTTTCTCACTTTGGTATTCCTTTCAGGTATCTTTACAATTCGTACGCAAAGCTTTGGAACTGGATGGTTGCAGTGTCACATTGCAGGCAATGCATGGAATCACCGGAAGCCACACGAACCCCAACAATTTTGAAAAGATGAGAGTATCTTTAGCTTTTCAGCTTTTCGGAGAAAAAGTGATTCATGGTCTGCAGCTGTACAAGTCAGGAATTGAAGATACCTGTGGTGACATCACAGCTACACTAAAGTTTTTCAAGTAAGTGTCATCACATTGTGGTTTTATTGCGATTGCACCTTTCACCTTGCATATGACAGTCTGACTCTTGCTCACAAACACAGATTCATCCTGCTTTTGTTCATTTCACAGGATCATCCATGACCTTGTGCAAATGATGACTTCATGATTTCCAGCTGAAGCGCTGCGCTTAAGTTCAGCAAGTGTTGAGAAGCTGCGATCGTTTCAGGAGTATCTTTCATCATGGGAAGACCACACGAAGGGGCAGATAGGATTCCTGAGCCAGTCAACAGCAGCTGGGCTGCGAGTGACAGTGTCAAGTGTGCTTTCTTTGCTTCAGTATCTCACTGAGAAACTAGGCTACAGGTACCTAATGACATCTAGAGTAAGCCAAGATCCTGTTGAGCATGTTTTTGGCATTGTCAGGCAGTCCTCTGGATGTAACACGCACCCAACACCACAGCAGTTTATTAGCACTATCAACTGCTTGAGCTTCAACAATCTTGCTCACTCAGCTTCAAAGGGAAACTGTGAGCCTGCAGTGCTCCATGCCCTTCTACCCGCAAATTCAGGTGCTAAAAATGTTCCATCTGGTAAACAGCGCTTAATGGACAAGTTTATAAACAGTGACAATGTAGCTGCCGTGCAGAGCTCGCTCCCACAGAGTGCGCCAGACCATGCGTCATGCATTATATCTGCCAGGGACAACCGGCTAACATTTTATATAGCAGGATATGTAGCTAGAAAATGCCTACTGAAGTCTGGCTGCGCAGAGTGCCGTAAACTTCTTCTAATGCAAAAGGAGTCTGCTGAAAGTCTCAAACACCTTGCGCAATTGACACACATGAAAGACAGAGGTGGCCTGCTTTATCCGTCTAGCCTGTTTTTTAAGTTTGTTCATGATTTAGAAAAAGCCTTCACAACGTGTTTCAGTTTGCTGGAGCTGCACGCTGATAGCATACTCGACATTTTAAGCGAAGTTAAGGCAAAGCAAAAAAATGTGCTTGGTTGTCGTGACCATTCTGAAGGCATTGCAGCTGAGCTCATCGTTTTTTACATCACTACTCGTCTGCATTTCTTAACTAAAAGCGTGAACCAGAATAGTGCTAAAAAACGAGAATCAGCCAAGCACCTAAAGCTCAGTAGATGTTAAGTTCTGCACATGTCCATCTCACGTGTCTTCTTTTTTGCGAATCCTCGTAATAGTTTTGAAAAGCTGTTAAACTAGTGAAATTTATTTTGTTATTTTGTATTTTTTGTACTCTTCCAACCATCACAATAAATAAAAAGATGTTCCTGTTTTCATTTTCGATGCTGAGCACTGTGTCCTTACCATGACCTTCTATGTAATAAGCCAGCACCAAAACTATAGTGGAAGCGCACCGTAAGCTTGTGATGGTGATGAGCAATCGCTTTGTAGCGAATGTTATTAGCGCGTGTGGTAAATATGAATATATATATATATATATATTCTTGGCCAAACTATGTATATACAAACCGCTGAGCCACGCAATAACTAACCTAGCAATTTTACGTTTGCATGAGCCAGGAAGCAAACACGCGCGTTAGAATTGACCATAGCTGCAACTCAGAAGGAGCCAGCGACGGCCAGTCAACGCAGCCGAAGCTCCTAGGAAATGGAGCAGTGGCGTCACCTCGCGCCATCCGTGTGAAAGGCTGGCGCCAGAGCCTGGCCGGTCGCACCACTAGAGTACTTCTAGTTCACTATAATCTGTTGCTACACTCCGCAGCTGGTGATGCTCCCACCTCCCCCTTCTAGCCACCATACCTCCACGGAGGAAGGACCCTCCGTGTATGGACCCTCCCCTTCTAGCCACCATACTCCGTGGTTGCCTCCGAATAGCTGCGACGTCACGTGACTGAGCGCTGAGGTGATGTCACGTGACTAAGCGGTACGGTACCGAGCGGTTCTACGCGGCGGACGGTCGCAACGCATGGCAAAAGGCATGGCCTTCGAGATATTGTGCTGGCAGAAAGCTTCTGATTGAAAAAAAAAACGACGTTCCAGGCATAATTCTTTAGGAGGCGTTGTTCAGCGTCATTTCATGCCAAACGTTTCAGCCGTTTTGGCGAACTTGGCAAAGTTCTGTTTGACGTTGCATCACGGGGGAGGAATATGAAAGGTGGCTCAACTGCGCCCGCTCAAACACACTGGTTTTGCGTGCGCTTCAAGCAGTTTCCGATGGATAGCGCGCGTGCATGGGGGCCATCGGTCCGCACAACACATAGGGCCCAACGCTGTAAATACTCGCTCTGTTAAGCAATGTAAGCTCATAAAATTATCTTTACGAGCATTATTGCACGTCGTTAATAAATATAAGCAACGTTTTTCTGTGCGCAAGTGTTCTAAGTACTTATCTTCAGTGGCTTTGGCGACTTTGGGAGCCGACGCAACTGTTATAGCAGCCGGCCGGCGCGATCCTAATGACGTCTACCTCTTCTAGTTGCTTTGCGATTTGATAGCGGGAACCCTGTGTGGCATAATGAAAAACCTGTAGCGTAATAAACGACACCTAGGCACTAGTGGACGGCACCTCTCACAAAAATAGCCCTTTTCTTCACTGATTGACTTCGGCCGAAAGCAAGTCAGGAGGCTATTTGCTAGTTAATTAGTTTCAATTGGTCGCGTCTGCATTCCACCACTCAGTAAAGCAACGTAAGCACGAAATTCGCAGAATGAGTTTCCTCGTCGAGGAACAACTTTGCAGTTTGTCACTTCTTGGGAATGCACCTTGCCATATCTGGCGCTTTTTGGAATGCGCCAGATTTAAATAGCTAATTGCACCGGCTTCGTATAGGAAGCCCACAGGCACTCTTTGAAAGCAAGCAAAACAAGTCTCTTGCCCCCCCCCCCCCCCCCCCCCTCCGAAAAAAAAAATAGATGTTTCATCGAACTGTGTAGCAGATAGGTGAAGAGCAAGCGTGATTATGTGTGTCGCACCACGAAATAGCCGCGCGTCTTTTTCTACACACCATGATTAAAGCTGCAAAAAATTTCTAGGTAACTCGCACTGCCATACAACAAAGAAAATGGTCAAAGTTGAAAGGGGCGCCTCACAATTGCAACAAAACTTGCACTTGACAATTTATTCGCACACAGTAACATGAAGTAGTAACAAATTCGAACGGCGAACAACGAGCTTCCTCTGGTCCTGACTGCGCTTTTCGAGATTTTATGTCGATGCCTGCCTGGACTGCAGGCATCTCATCGCAACCAAGGAGGATATAAATATCCTCCTTGATCGCAACTCATGTGACAGTTCGGCGGGTCGTCGTCGTTGTTGCTGACGCTAGAAGGGGCGCCTTTTCGCTTCGCTGGCGCCAAAAGCTGCCTTTCAGCGGGCCGCTTCACAGTCGTCGATCTCTTCGAGAGGTAGGGCGGGCAATCCGGAAATACCGTGGGAACAGCGTCACACGCCAGGGATGCTCGTCGTGGCACGCTCATCAGTACATTGCCGTTGTAGTGGGCAGTCCACGTCTTAGTCACGAGATGAGACTCTAAATGTCTCTCGCAAACAGTCTGTTGGTTGTAGCGGGCGATCTTTCCTCGGTATGGCATGTCGCCAGAGCTTGAGACGCTCGTCGTCTTTCGGGGCAAAAAACAGCGAGTCCTTCTTCTGACACGACTTGTAGCCGGTCGTGCAACGCGGGACGAAGCACTTTTTCTCCATCAGAGGTTCACACCACAAAACGATTCACACTGCAAGAAACCATGCAAACGCTACACATGTCTACGTGTTCACCACATAAAACTACGCGAATGATGGCCCCTGAACATACAGCGCTGCCTATCAGAGGAAGGGTAAAACGCACGCAAATCGTCGGCGCGTGCTCAGTACGGCGATGTGCCGCTGTTCACACACCTCTGCAATCCATACCTCTGCTATTCCTCCACCGTGCGTTGCACGGAGGAAGGGTGCGTTGGCGTGGGTGCCAACGTGTTTAGGTGGGTGCGTTGCTACAGTGTCTAGAAATATACTGGCTAGTGTGCTGAGCGCGGGCTAGGAGATGGCCCCGCAGCTGATGACTGCCGGCAGCGCCCGCATGGTGCGCTGCTGTGCGAGTGGGTGTGAGAAAAGGGTTCCTGGTAGTACATCAACAGGCCCAGATGGCATTCCAATTAGGCTGATAAAGACATTAGGTCCGAAGTCTAAGCAGGCTTTGAGAGAGGCAGTGAGCAAAATAATCGATGGTGAAGTTCCCAATGGATGGAAACTTAGCAGGATGAGCATGATCTATAAAGAAAAGGGGGAAAAAGCTGACATAAACAACTACCGTCCTATAACAGTGACATCAGTGGTCTACAGGCTGGCGATGCAAATTATAAAGGAAAGACTACAGGCGTGGATAGAGGATGAGGGGGTGCTGGGGGAACTGCAGAATGGGTTTCGGAAACACAGGAGGTTGGAAGACAATCTGTTCTCACTGACGCAGTGCATCGAAATAGCAGAAAAGGAACACAGGCCCCTGTGGCTAGCATTTTTGGATATCAAGGGAGCGTACGATAGCGTGGTTCAAGAGGAATTGTGGGGAATACTGGACACACTAGGCGTGGAACATGTAGTCACTAATCTTTTAAAGGGTATCTATAAAGGTAACAAGGTAGTTATAAAGTGGGAAAAACAGGTATCCAAGCCTGCAGAGGTAAAACGGGGGCTTAGGCAGGGGTGCCCCTGTCACCCTTATTATTCATGATGTACCTACAAGGATTAGAGGCAAAATTAGAGGGAAGTGGACTGGGCTTCAACCTCTCTTTAGTCAAACAAGGAAAACTTATTGATCAGGCACTACCAGCATTAATGTACGCAGATGATATAGTGCTAATGGCCAACAACAAGGAAGATTTGCAGAGATTGATGGACATCTGCAGTAATGAGGGAGATAGGTTAGATTTTAGATTCAGTAAGGAAAAATCAGCAGTCATGATTTTCAATGACAACGAAGGTAGTGAGCTTAGAATACAGGAAGTCACGCTAGAGATAACAGATAAATACAAATATCTGGGCGTATGGATAAGCAATGGGACCGAGTATCTGAGGGAACACGAAATATACGTGACGACTAAAGGTAACAGGAATGCAGCAGTCATGAAAAATAGGGCACTGTGGAATTACAATAGGTATGATGTTGTGAGAGGAATATGGAAAGGGGTCATGGTTCCTGGGCTGACGTTCGGCAATGCGGTCTTGTGCATGAGATCAGAAGTTCAAGCAAGATTAGAAATTAAGCAACGTGGAATAGGTAGGCTTGCTTTAGGAGCTCACGGGAATACACCAAATCAGGGAGTACAAGGCGATATGGGATGGACATCATTTGAGGGCAGGGAAGCTAGCAGCAAGATAAAATTTGAGAAACGATTGAGAGAAATGGGGGAAGAGCGTTGGGCTAGGAAGATTTTCAGCTACTTGTACATGAAGAATGTCGATACAAAATGGAGGAAGCGAACCAGAAAGTTGACTGGTAAATACTTAGAAAACAGCAGGTGGCCAAACCAAAAAGAACTATCGGTTAAGAAGAAAGTGAAGGAAACGGAGACTGACATGTGGAGAACGGGCATGATTAAGAAGTCCGCACTAGAGATCTATCGAACTTTTAAGCAGGAAATTGCCAAGGAAAGGATCTATGATAATACACGGGGTAGTTCTCTACTGCTTGAGGCCAGGACGGGAGTACTGCGAACCAAGACATATCGGGCCAAATACGAAGAGTAGACACAGTATGCAGTGCGTGTGGAGAGGAAGAAGAAACTGCCGAACACTTGATAATGTTCTGTAAAGCGCTTCACCCTATAGTTCAGGATGATGGCGCAGAGTTTTTCAAAGCACTGGTGTTTAGGGACCGGGAGGGCAAAATAAACTTTAAGCGGGTAGACTTAACCAGAAGGAGGTTATCTGATTGGTGGCTAAAGTCAAGACACGAGTGAAAATTAAACTCTTCACTGCAAAGTACGAATCCTCAAACTCACTTTT